AGGGGGAGTGAAGGTTGTCCATGACTCACTGGCCTTCATGGCCAGCAAGTTTCTAGCCTCCAGATTTGGTGACTGAGACAAAGAGATGGAGTAGTGAGGAAGGCATTAAGATCCACTAGAGGTAGGGCAAGGCAGGTGGAACACTGTGGGGCTGGGGGTGAGACAAGGGGACTAGATTTGGAGCAGAGGAGAGAGAGTTAAGCTCGAAAGGTGCTTCCCTGGCGGTGGGTCTCCATGGAATGCTGGAGGGTGATCAGCTCCTCCCGCACGCTCTAAAGCTCTAGCTGGGTCATAGCTAAGGGATAGTCCTGCCTGTTGGGTCAGTCCCTCCGGATCTATGAAGATGAGACAGTGACAGTTTCATATTCTGGGTAAAGAGGTACCAATTCTTTGACAGAGAAATCAAAAATGTATCTCTATTTCCAGGCAAGTGTCTTTCCTCCCACCCATGGGCTCACCTCTTTGTCCAATGGTTGCAAACTGTGCCTGCTTGAGTCTTGCTCACTGAACTCCCGTCTGGATATCTCTCCAGATATGGTGGCCTGCGTTGTGCCTTCTGAGTGTGTAAAGCAGTGTGGCGTTGATGTTGGCTGCACTAACTACGCCTACCCGACGCTGGTGCTGAAACTGATGCCCATGGGTAAGTAAAAGCCTGGGCTCATACAGCCTCAGGTGCTAGGTCTGCAGATGAGCATAGAAATGTTGTGGTTTACTCATCAGTAATTATCACTTTCCACTAGTTCAGCTCTGTTCGTAGACATTTCTTGGGCATGTTTCACATGTTGCCAAACCATATTCTGAGCCTACACATTCCAGAGATGGACCAGGTGTTTTCTGTTAGAAGAATCTTGACTCTTTAGGATCAAGACGCTTTGATGAAAATTAAGAATGTTTGCATTGTCTCTTTGCTAATAAAAAGCATTGTTTAACCACAAACCTATATATCCAATGGAGTAGAGGTTAATTATGGGCCAGTGACACTAAGATCTTTGATCTCAATCAATCCAATTTGCAATCACTTATTAAGTGTATTAGGTCCCAGACACTGGCTTGGGTGTCCAGAAACATTGATGAAGTCACAAATATAAATCCCCCTACCATTTAGAATTCACATTTCAGTTTCCTGAGACATAAAATAATTGTGCATGTGAAGAAGGTAAATGATTAAGATGCTGGGGAGTGACTGTGGTGAATAGAAGCAGGTCAAGGTAGAGAGCTCCGGTTAACACTTGGTTAACACAGGCTTTGCATCCTGACACACAGGAACATTTTCAGAATGAAGAGAACATATCCCACAGATCTGACACCACATTCCCCCACCCTCTGTTCTAGAAGATGTAGGGCCAAAGAGAACTAGAGCATCAGGCTCCTATTAGGACTTAAAACTCTTGGCTTTTCCTCTCTAACAGCAGCAGAACCACTAACTAGACTTTTCCACTAAACCTTTGCTTGGAGAGGAAATCATCACAAGGAAAGATGACATGATACGTATGGTTTATTCTGTTCTAAAAGTAGGTTCCTGAAGATGTAATCTGAATTTGTATTTGAGACTAAATTCCCCATTGGGTAATTTTGAGATCACCAGGAATTATGCATGGAGCTCCACGTGCATTTCCGTTATATGTGTATTATTGGTAGCAGCTGACGTAGTCAATGCTCCAGACAGAACCATTGTCTTGAAGAAAGTCCCTACTTTTAGCCTGGCACTCAGACACTAGGACATCCCTTCTAACCACAGTTTGAACCCTCTCCTGACCCTAGGACTGCGAGGCCTGATGCTCTCAGCCATGGTGGCCTCTCTGATGAGCTCCCTGACCTCCATCTTCAACAGCGCCAGCACGCTCTTCACCATAGACCTCTACACAAAGATTCGGAAGAAGGCATCAGAGAGAGAGCTCCTGATAGCTGGACGGTAAGGGAACCTGGTCTCTGCCTAGAATTCCCCTCAGGAAGGGAAAATGTAGAGATGAGCTAGAGTTTGAATATGTTTGACTTTAGTGAAAATAATCATCGATCTACTGAGGAAGAAGGAACACTAGGAATGATTCAATTCAACATATCTCTTTATATAGCCCAAAATGGGGCCATTTAATGTAATGGTTGTTTTCCCCACTTAAAGGTAATACTTATTTTCTTTTTTTTTTTTGTTTGGTTGTTTGTTTTGTTTTGTTTTCTTTCTCAAGACAGACTATCCCTGTGTAACATAGCAGAGTGCTAGAATTACAGGCGTGTGCCACCATGCCTGGTTGGTTTTTTTTTTTCATATTTTAAGTATTTCAGGTGGTTCATGGGTTGTTTTTTTTTTTAACTTTCCCTCCAACAAGCCCATCCGAGCACATCTTCCCACAACCATGTCCATATTTCAGATGAATATGGAGATGAGGAGATTTCATGCTTAATCTTGTTAGTCATATTTGCTCATTTATTCACACACAAAGCAAACTCTGGGTTTAGAAAACCAGATAGCTCATCTTTATAAATCCCAAGATATTATAGTCAGCATTTTACCAGCCCTTTCTGTGAGGAAAACACGTGAACATTTATTTCATGTCAATACATCAAGTATTTCTTCTCAGTTCTTCTAGCATTCTGGAAAAGAGAAGGCTGTGTTAATTCTTTTTTATGGAAACTCACTTTTTTCCTATAACTAAGAAAAAGATAAAAATTTATTATACAAATAACTACTGATTAAGAAAACTAATACAGTGTTTAATTCTTAGATCAATATTATATTAAATAATTATTTTAATCTTTTTTCTTTATTATTTTTTATTAAGTACATTTCATTCACTTTGTATCCCAGCTGTAGTCCCCTCCCTCTTACCCTCCTAATCCCACACTCCCTTCCTCTTCTTCTCCTTTGCCTACCCCCCCCCCAAGTCCACTGATAGGGAGGTCCCCCTCCCCTTCCATCTGACCCTAGTCAATCAGGTCTCATCAGGATTGGCTGCATTCCTCTGTGACCTGGTAAGGTTGTTCCCCCCTCAGGGAGAGGTGATCAAAGAGCCAGCCACTGAGTTCATGTCAGAGACAGTCCCTGTTCCCATTACTAGGGAACCCACTTGTACACTGAGCTGCAATGGGCTACATGGGTGGAGGGGTTCTAGGATATCTCCATACATGGTCCTTGGTTGGAGTATCAGTCTCAGAAAAGACTCCTGGACCCAGAGTTTTTGGTACTGTTGCTCTCCTTGTGGAGTTCCTGTCCTCTCCAGGTATTTCTACCTCCACTTCTTTCATAAGATTCCCTGCACTCTGACTAAAGTTTGGCTATGAGTCTCAGCCTCTGCTTTAATATCCTGCTGGGTAGAGTATTTCAGAGGCCCTCTGATAGGCTCCTGTCATGTTCCCTGTTTTCTCCCTCTTCCAATGTCCATCTCCTTTGCCTTTCTGAATAAGGATTGAGCATCTTACCCAGGGTGCTCCTTCTTGATCAGCTTCATTAGGTGAACAGATTTTAGTTTGATTATCCTTTATAATATGTCTAATACCCACTTATAAGTGAGTATATACCATGTGTGTCTTTCTGCTTCTGGGATACCTCACTCAGAATGATCTTTTCTAGATCCCACCATTTGCCTGCAAATTTCATGATATCCTTGTTTTTAATTGCTGAGTAGTATTCCATTGTGTAAATGTACCACAATTTCTGTATCCATTCCTCAACTGAGGGATATCTGGGTTGTGTCCAGATCCTGCCTATTATAAATAAAGCTGCCAAGAACATGATTGAGCAAATGTCTTTATTGTATACTTGAGCATCTTTTGGGTATATGCCTAGGAGTGTTATAGCTGGATCTTGAAGTAGCACTATTCCTAATTGTCTGAGAAAGTGCCAGATTGATTTCCAAAGTGGTTGTACAAGTTTACATTCCCACCAGCAATGGAGGAAGGTTTGCCTTTCTCCACATCTTCTCCAGCATGTGTTGTCACTTGAGTTTTTGATCTTAGCCATTCTGATGGGTGTCAGGTGAAATCTCAGGGTTGTTTTGATTTATATTTCCCTGATGTTGAGCATTTCTTTAAGTGTTTCTCTACCATTCAATATTCCTCTTTTAGGAATTCTCTGTTTTGCTCTGTATTTCATTTTTTAATTGTATTACTTGATTTGTTGCTGCTTAACTTCTTTAGTTCTTTATATTTTCTGGATATTAGCCCTCTGTCAGATATAGGGTTCGTGAATACTTTTCCCAGTCTGTAGGCTGGTGTTTTGTTCTGATAACAGTGTCCTTTGCATTACAGAAGCTTTTCAGTTTCATGAAGTCCCATTTATTAATTGTTGATCTTAGAGCCTGTGCTGTTGGTGTTCTGTTCAGGAAGTTGTCTCCTGTGCCAATGAGTTCAAGTATCTTCCCTGCTTTTTTTTTTCTAACAGATTTAGTGTGTCTGGTTTTATATTGAGGTCTTTGATCCACTTGGACTTTAGTTTTGTACAGGGTGATAAGTATGGATCTATTTGCATTTTTCTACATGTAGACATCCAATTAGATCAGCACCATTTTGGGGGGATGCTATCTTTTTTTCATTGTATGGTTTTGGCTTCTTTGTCAAAAATCAGGTGTCCATAAGTGTGTGGGTTTATTTCTGGGTCTTCTGTTAGATTCCATTGATCCACCATTCTGTTTCTATGCCAGTACCATGAAGTTTTTATTGTTGTTGCTCTATAGTACATCTTTTTTTTTTTTTATGTAAGACCTTTATTAACAGGTGCTTGCAGTTCATTGACTTTTATTTTTTTGAAAAAATCAAGTTGTAAACTTATTACAAACTAAAAATGAAATTCTTAAAAATCTCAACTTGACCAGATATGAAACAATTTAAAAACCATTAAAGGTGTATTGAGAAAAACCAGGCCTTTTTTTTTTTTTTTTTTTTTCTTAAAAAACACGTTTGTCATTACCAAAAAGAGACATCTTTAGGTAAAAATAATAAAAACCCTATGCTGCATAGATAATGCAGATAGTTCTAGTGTATCTGGTCAACGGGCCAAAAGCAAGCACTTAGGTCTTCAGCTCCAATCTTTGTTCATTTCTCATTGCTGGAATTTCATATTCGTTTCTTCTTGTTGGATGACCAAACCGGATGATGGTAGAGATGGTAAGCCGGTGTTCGCTCAGCCCCACCTGCTCAGCCTCGGGAGCGGACGAATTCTCAGCTGGTGGATCTGCTGCTTTTGTCTCTTTGCCATCTTGTGGTTCAGGGTTCTCTGGGCGTCTGGGTGGGTAATTGAAGTTGCGGCGATACCGACGTTGAGGTGGCTGCTGACCTTGGGTCTCACCTCCTTGATTTTCCTTGTCCTCTTCATTGCCATCCTCTCTGGGCTGTCTTTGGCGAGGAGGGCCCCTGCGGAATCGTGGTCTGTAACCCCGATACATGTTCTGTCTCACTGGTCTGCCTTGCTCTCCCGCACCCTGGTTGTCAGCACCCTCCATCACTTCTCCTTGCACAGGAGGGTTGGAATAGTGTGGTCGACGCCCATAGGGTCTCCGCATGTAGTAAGGTGGGAACCTTCGCCTGCGATAGGGCCGGCGCTGTTGGGCCTGGCCTTCAGGAGCACTTTCCGATCCTTTGTTCTTTTCCCCACGCTCACTATTCTGGTAGTTTTGCTGGTAATTGCGTGGAGGACCCCTACGACATGGATAGCGTCTATAATGGTTACGGTCTGCTGCGTATTTACTGCCTTGAACTGGAACTCCTCCAGGGCCTGTAACATTTGCTGCCTCCGCACCCTTTTCTCCTTCAACAACATCAAACTCCACAGTCTCTCCATCTCCTACACTGTGAAGGTACTTCCTGGGGTTATTCTTCTTTATGGCAGTCTGGTGTACAAATACGTCTTCCTTGGTGTCATTCCTGTTGATGAAACCGTATCCGTTCCTTACATTGAACCATTTTACTGTTCCCAAAACCTTCGTTGCGATGACCTTCTTGTCCGCCGATGTGAGGCCGCCCGGGCCGCCACTCCACGGGCTGCCCGTGGAGCCGGGCTTGGTGTCGGCGGCGCTGAGGGCGGCGGCAGGGGCGGCGAGCGGCTGCTGGGTCTCGGCCTCGCTGCTCATGGTTGCGGTGATGGTGACTGGGGCCGGCGGCGACGGCTGCGGCTCCTCCCGGGGTGTGATGGTGACTAGGCCGGCGGCGGTGGGGCTCTCAGGGTTCTCTGGGGTCCACTCTCCGCTCCCGCTACCAATCGAACTCTCTATAGTACATCTTAAAATCAGGGATGGAGATTCCTCCAGAAGATCTTCTATTGTAGAGGATTGTTTTAGCAATTCTGTTTCTTGTTATTCAATATGAAGTTGAGAATTTTCTTTCATGGTCTGTAAAGAATTGTGTTGGCAATTTGGTGGGAATTGCATTGAATCTGTAGATTGCTTTTGGTAAGATGGCCATTTTTTACTATGTTAATCTTGCCAAGCCATGAGCATGGGAGATCTTTCCTTCTTCTGGTATCTTTTTCTATTTCTTTCTTCAGAGACTGGAAGTGTTTTTCATACAAGTCTTTGACTTGCTTGGTTAGGGTTACACCAAGGTACTTTATGTCCTCTGTGTCTATTGTGAAGGGTGTTGTTTCCCTTATTTCTTTTTCAGCCCATTTGTCTTTTGTATACAGGGGGGCTACTAATTTTTTTTAGTTTATTTTATATCCAGCCACTTGGCTGAAGGTGTTTTTCAGCTGTAGGAGTTCCCTGGTAGAATTTTTGGGGTTACTCATGTATACTATCATATCATCTGCAAATAGTGATAGTTTGACATCTTCCTTTCCAAACTGAATCCCCTTGATCTCCTTTAATTGTGTTATTGCTCTAGCAAGGACTTCAAGAACAATGTTGAAAAGATGTAAAGAGAGTGGGTAGCCTTGCCTTGTCCTTGATTTCAGTGAGATTGATTTAAGTTTCTCTCCGTTCAGTTTGATGTTGGCTATAGGCTTGCTGTATATTGTCTTTACAATGTTTAGGTAAGTGCCTTGTATCCCTGATCTCTTCAGGACTTTAAACATAAACGAATGTTGGATTTTATCAAATGCTTTTCAGCATCTAAGGAGAGTATCATGTTGGGTTTTTTTTTTTTTCTTTCAGTATGTTTATATGGTGAATTATATTGATGGATTTCCATATATTGAACCACCCTTGCATACCTGGGATGAAGCTTACTTGGTCATAGTGGATGATATCTCTCATGTGTTCTTGAATTCAGTTTGCAAGGTTTTTGGCTTTTTTTTTTTTTTTTTGAGTAATTTTCATCAATGTTCATAAAGGAAATTGGCCTGAAATTCTCTTTCTTTGTTGGATCTTTGTGAGGTTTAGGTATCAAGATGACTGTGGCTTTATAGAATGAATTTAGTAATGCTCCTTCTGTTTCTATTTTATGGAATAGATTGAAGAGTATTGGTGTCATCTTTTCTTTCAAGGTCTGGTAAATTCTGCAATAAAACCATCTGGCTCTGGGCATTTTTTGGATGGGAGACTTTTAATGACACTTTCTATTTCCTTAGGGGATATAGAACTATTTGATAGTTCTATATCTTGTCTTGATTCAGCTTTGGTAAGTGTAATCAATTAAGAAAATTGTCCACTGCATTTAGATTTTCAAATTTTGTGGTGTTTAGGCTTTTGAAGTAAGACCTAATGATTGTTTGGATTTCCTTAGTGTCTGTTGTTATGTCATCCTTTTCATTTCTGATTTTGTTGATTTGGATAGTGTCTTTCTGCCTTTTAGTTAGTTTGGCTAAGGGTTTGTCTGTCTTGTTGATTTTCTCAAAGAACCAGCTCTTGGTTTCATTGATTCTTTGAATTGTTTTATTTGTTTTTAATCTATCGATTTCAGCCCTGGGTTTGATTATTTCCAGCAGTGTAAAGAGTCCACCATGGACTAAAGCCAGATCTCAACAACAACAGAAAGAACAAAAAAAAGCCTACACACACACATGGAAACAGAACAACTCACTATTCAATGACAGCTGGGTCAGGAAAGAAATAAAGAAAGAAATTAAAGTCTTCCTAGAATTCAATGAAAATGAAGCACAACATACCCAAATGTATGGGACACAATGAAAGCAGTGCTAAGAGGAAAGTTCATAGCACTAAGTGCCTTCAAGAAGAAATATGAAACATCTCATTCAAGCAACTGAATGGCACACCCGAAAGCCCTAGAAAAAAAGAAGATACACCCAAGAGCCTGCATGATATTCATCCAGGCCCTTCTGGCTTCCATAGTCTCTGTTGAGAAGTCAGGTGTGATTCTGATGGGTTTGCCATTATATGTTACTTGGCCTTTTTCCCTTGCAGCTTTTAGTATTTTTTCTTTGTTCTGTATACTTACTGTTTTGATTATTATGTAGCAGGAGGATTTTCTTTTCTGGTCTAATTTATTGGGTGTTCTGTAGGCCTCTTGTATTCTTATTAACCTCTCATTTAAGTTGGGGAAATTTTCTTCAATTATTTTATTGAAAATATTTTCTGGGCCTTGGAGGAGGGACTCTTCTTTTTCTTCTATTCCTATTATTCTTAGGTTTTGTCTTTTTATATTGTCTTGAATTTCTTGGACTGTCTGTGTCAGGAATTTTTTAAATTTAACATTTTCTTTGACAGATACATCGAATTCTTCCATTGTATCTTCCACACCTGAGATTCTTTCTTCCATCTCTTATAGTCTGTTGGTTATGCTTACCTCTGTAATTCCTGTTTTCTTCCCTAAGTTCTTCCTCTCCATGATTTCCTATGTTTGTGTTTCCTTTAATTTTTCCAATTCAATCTTCAGATCTTGAACCATTTTGTTAATTTCCTTCACCTGTCTGACTGTATTTTCCTGCTTTCCTTCAATTACTTCACCTGTTTGTTTGAACATTGCTCTGTTTCTTTTATTTCTTTCAGTGATTTAATCATTTCCTCTCTGAATGCCACAAACTGTTTGGCTGCATCTTCCTGTATTTATTTATGGATGGCCATACTCTCTGTTTAACTATTTTCCTCTATTTTTTATGCATTTTATTTGTTTCCTCCATTATGCTTTTTATAAGCATAGATGTAAAGTCATCTTCTTGAATTTCACTTATGTTACGGTGTCCAGGGCTACTTGCCCCTGGATAACTGGGTTATGGAGATGTCATTGCTTTGCCTTTTGTTGGTTGTGTTTTTACACTGGCTTCTACCCATCTGGCTGTCTCAGGTGTTGGCTATTAGTTTCTGATGCCAGCTAAAATCCTGGGGTGGGGAGAATTCCCTTGGCAAGAAGATGGTTGTGCCTGAAAGAGGCCTCCCCAGCTTTTTGGGTATGGTTAACCGAATGATGGTGCTTCTCAGAAAGTGCCACAGCTCGCCTCAGGTGTATGGACCTGTGTGGTAACTGTGGTCTTTGGTAGTCAGGGAGGCTGTCCTCTCACCAGGAGAAGTCCTGGAGACAGTTGCCCTGCCACTGGGTTTCTTGCTCTGAATTTAATGAGCTGCTACTGCTGTTCTTACACTGTGTTTGCTGGGTACAGTCCTCTTGAAGAACCAGGGAACCTTGTGGTTTGGTCAGTTTAACTAAGGATAACTGGTTGCACCTTGGAGCAGTATCTGGTGGCTGATCCCATGGATCTCAGACTTCTGTAGGTCTGAGGTTGGAGCTCTGTGCCCCAGGACCCAAGAAGCAACCAGTGGCATTTGAGTGCAGCACTCATGTGTGTGGCAGGATGCTGGAGCCTGGAACCTGCAGCAACCCAGAAACTTTTCTGGATTTGGGTGTCCTGACGTTGGAGCTGATGTGTCCCTCTCCCCCCCCCACCCCCGAGGGGTTTCCTCCCATCAGGGAGACCCAGTCTGTGGGGTTTGGGGGTCCACAGTTCAGGCTGGGATGGTGAGTAGAGCACACAGGTGCAGGCGAATGGCTCCACACTGGTGCCTGCAGGAACTTAGGAACTTTTCCAGAGAATTTGGGGGCGGGGAGGTTGGCAGAGTGCCCTGTGGTCGGACCTGATGTTTCCCTCACCATGGAGTTTCCTCCCAAAAGGGAAAGCCAGTTTCTGGTGCCCTTGAGTCCACAGTTCTGTCTAGGATTGTGGATTGGGCAGGCAGGCGGGTCTCTGGGCTGGCGACTGAGCGCCTGCCAGATCCCAGGACCTTTTCCAGGAACTGTCTAGGTGACTTGACAATCGGTCCTGATTGCTTCCTTCACCGAGGGATTCTCTCTCGACTGGAATCCCAGTCTCTGGTGTTGTACTGCCCACAGTTCAGTCTGGGACGGTGATCAGAGCACACAGGTGTGTTGGCGACTGAGTGCCTGCCGGAACCTGCAAAGTCTTCCAGGGTTTAGCTGGGTGAGGTGAGAATGGACTCGATTGCTTCCCACACTGTGGGGTTTCCTCTCACCTGGGAAACACAATTGCTAGTGTTTTATGTCCCCGAGTTCTGTCTGTTTGTCACTGTGCAGTCACTGCTGTCCGGCTCGTCAGATACAGTGTTCTCCCCCAATCCTTTGATTTATTAATATTACGACAAGTTTCTTGCTGGGACTAACATACATAATATGAGAGGGACAAGAGAAGACTTTGTGTCCTGAAGAACAAAAGAGGATGCAGGGAGGAGACTGATGATAAGAACAGAGTAAAGGTTTGTGAAGTCAGGGTTGAGATATGGAGGGTTTTAGTGTGCTGGGGAGCAGGTGAGGAGGGAGAGCAACTGTCATATTGAAGAATTATTAACCAACAGCTAACATTCGTTTTCATGAGGAATCATTCATCTTAGATGAAGCCTTTACGACACATGTAGATAAGCATGGTTGCTATTGAATTAACAGATAATCAGCATAGCGTGGGTTCACATCAGGCCAAGAAGTGTAGTTTTGTTTTGAAAATGAATATATGAAACAAGGATAAATTCAGGAACTCGGAAAACACGCCTGTCATGCTGTTGTTTATGCTCTGATGTTTCTTGCAGGCTGTTTGTCTCTGTGCTAATTGTCACCAGCATCTTATGGGTCCCCATAGTGGAAGTATCTCAGGGTGGACAGCTGATCCATTACACAGAAGCAATCTCTAGCTACCTCGGGCCTCCGATTGCAGCTGTCTTCCTGCTCGCCGTCTTCTGTAAGAGGGTCAATGAACAAGTAAGTGAAAAACAGGGAGGATTTTCCCTGCTGCTCTAAGAAAAATTTGCTCCTCTCACTGGCTC